ATCGAAGAAGATTGCCACCCGGCCTGAAAAACACCATAAATCCACAATTATCAAAATGTGGTCTAATGAAAGAAACCTGCACAGAAATGCTTGACAACAAAGAGAAGGTTTGTCATAAAAGAAGATTATTTGTGTAAGAAATTGATAAATATAACATAAGCCAAACAGAGAATAGAAATATGAAAACACTAAAAGTAATATGTAAGAAGGCAGATTAAATCTTTCCAATCGACTTTTTCAATTTCATTTATTGAATTTCTAACTTTCTAGGAAACTAAACAAAAGTCAAAAATAGATAATAATGATTAACAAGAAAGAGGGGAAATGAAATGGAGAGATGTGAGGGCTTACTTTTGCAAGAGGAGTGGTACTTGGTGGCGCGCTGAGTTTGACTGAGATGCATGAATCCACCACCATAGAAGGTGAAGGCAGCACTGAACTGGATACTGGAGAAGTAAGTTACGGATAGAGTAAGCTGGCCAGCTTTATTTGGAGATGGAGTGTTTCACATTATAATTAAAAGTCCACCCTGAAAAAATTGCAACCCCTAGAACCGTAAGGATAGAAACTGTACCTTCTGAAAATGCTAATGTTCTCTCACTGCTTTCAGCATATGGTAGGCCAATGATTGGATATCAAAAGTCAAAGCAAAGATGCTGTGCAATAGACCAAATTAGGTAAAAACCTTGAATAACACAGTAGGTTCAAATTTGCAATGCAAGCTTAACATTGTTGCACTGATAGATTACCTTCAAAGACAAACTTTTGACAAAAACCTCAACAACATCTTACATACTGAAGCAGCACATTGAAATCAATCAAATTTACACTTACAGTAGAGAACAGTAAAACTCGGAGAAAATTTATGACTGCACGTAGAACTAAGAGATGCAGAGAAAAATCGTATGCATAACCAATTTATCTTTTAAAGAAGAAACAAGTCAAGTACCTGTTGATTTCTGGCTTGTGTTTGAAATTGTGGAGTGCCAACAGTTTTTATATTGCTCTTTGTTCTCTGCACATAATTGCATGGAGACAGTCAAGGACCAATTCCTGGCAATCAGTGACAAGGAATTAAAAAGGAAGTGGAGTTGATTCAGTCTCATCCAATTTTTTTTATATAGCGACCGTGAATGTAATATCCATCAATTACAATACTCTGTACTCCACAGCCTCTTTGCCTTCTCTTAATCTTCCACTCAAATTTTTACTGCACCCATTGATATCTAATTCTTCAAAAGAGGGAAGGTGGGTATCTCTTGAGATTGAGATTCAGATAGAAACCTTAATTCTGGGCAAGAACAGATTTTTAATCTCTGAAGAGAATACATCCCCTTACCAGGAAGAGGCAGAGACACCAAAAACTTGCTAGTTAAATAAGAAATCCCAGAAAAATAACAACTTCATATACATCGGAAGCTCGTCACATCCATAGCTTGCAAAGAAAACTATCTGCTTCGCATCTTGAACGACTCTATCATGTGACTCATTAACTCGAACATGCTAACTGTATAATCAGAAGATCTCACATGTTAAGGACCTCATTACACAACTATGCTTTAGCAAGTGAAATGAATAAAGAGAGAAAGGGAAAGGGGAGGGATTACTTGACTTTCTCCATGGGAAATTTCGACATTTTGCAAAGTTCATCCATGTGCATACTTATTTCCTGCAATCAAGATCCAGTTCTCAAAGTTCAGTAAAGATGGCACACCAGTAGAAAGGTCAAAGACAAGTGGACAGAATTATATGAAAACAGAACTCACTAGGCGATTGTAACTAAACATAGTTCACTATTATCAGATCAAACTCATTCGAAAGAGATGGAAACTAGTGGGGGTAATTAAAAAATCTTAATGCAAATAAAACTCACATGCTTGAAGACTGTTGCAGACATTCAAGGACCATTCCTTTGCAGTACCTCAGCGTATCCACAGCAAACTGGTCAGAGAACTGGGAAAGAAAACTAGAATGATAAACGCATACAGCAGAAAGGATTTTGGAAAACTAGAAAACTATAATGCTTTCCTAACTTCAATAAATTTAAACATGTTTTATCAGTAGCACATACTAAACCAGCTCTAAGATCAATATACCTGTACTTTGGAATTCTAAAAATGGGAATCCATCATCTGTAAAACGAAAACCAAAAGTAATCTGATTGAAGATTGCCACTGGCCTGAAAAACGCCATAAAAATCCAAGTTATCAAAATATGGTCTAATAAAAGAAAGCTCCACAGACATGCTATGAGCTCAAATACCTCATATTCTATGGCCATCTCAATTTTTCCTCCTTTACATAGTGACCGTCCTTTTGAATGAAATAATCATCAATTATAATAGTTGGAATGTGTTTGATGTTAGGCCAGTACTCCACACCCTCCTTCCCTTCTCTTAATCTTCCACTCAACTCTTCACCGCACGATCTGATATATAATTCTTGCAAAGAGGGAAGGTTCGGTATCCCTTGAGATTGAGATTCACATAGAGACCTTAAATCTCTACATATACCGATCGTTAATAGCTGAAGAGAATGCATCCCCTGATCAGGTAGATGCAGAGCCTTCAATCTTGGGCAATCCCAAATTGATAGCTGTTGAAGAGAAGAGAGATTTTGCAGCACATCTTCTGAGAGAGAATCCATATCCTCAATATCATAAATATTGAGTTCCTTCAATTTGGAGAGAGGACAGATAAATGATGAAGAAGAAGAAGAAGAGGAGACTGATGATGTTGATTTCCAACCTCTCATCTTCATTGTCTGCTGTAATGGCACTGAGCTGGTCGACCACAAATAGAGCTCATCATCTAGAGTTGGAAACAATGGCATTGAATACAGTTTAGGACAGAGGCGTATTGACAAGGAAGAAAGACGTGGAAAAGAGAGCATCATCAACTCTTCTTCTGTTGTGGTTGTTGGCTCATTAATCTCATCACTCTTCTTCCACCATCCCTTCAGCCTTTCACATGACCAAATCGTGAGTTTCTTCAGGGATGGGAAAAACACCGACATTCCTCTTCCTCCAACCCCCTCATTATCTATGTATTCCAGATTAGGTAAACCGTCAATATGCAGTTCTTCAAGAGAAGGGATTCCATCTAAGGGAGGGATATGCTCAAGTCTTCTACTATTAATTAGACGAATCCTTACAAGATCGGTGAGATGTGAAAGCCAACTTGGCAACCTCATACCTCTATAACGTCTCACTTCCAACTGTTGAAGATTCCTGTTTGGCTGTAGGCTTTGCAACATTTTATCACACAAATCACTATCAATGTGTAAATCACTATTCCACACTATGGTCAACGACTGAAGATATTGTTTCTCTATCAATTTAGCTCCCTCAAATTCTAATATACAAGAATTCCTCTCATATCCCTGCACTCTTATTTCAAGGCTCCCTCTAAATTCATTTAAACTACCCAATTCATTTAAACTATCCAACTCATCCAATCTAGCAACCATCTTATATCCCCTAACTCTTATTTCTAGGCTCCCTCTCAATTCATTTAACCTACCCAACTCATCCAATCCACCAACCATCTTGGATCCAGGACTCTTTTTTCCAACCACAAAACATGACAACGTCTGGAGACAAGTTAATTTCCCAATCCCACGAGGCATATACTTCAAACTTTCACATAAATCTTCATCAAGAGAGCAACCAACATCAAGATGCCTAAGATTAATCAGCTTATTAATATCTCTAGGTAGTGCTTTAAGTTTCCGACAACTATTAAGCTTGAGCACTTGCAAATTTATTAGATTGGTAACAGAATTAGGAAGTGCCTCCATCTCATTATTCGAAAGATCAAGATATTTAAGGTGCTTGAACTTTTCAATGGAACGAGACACTTTCTTAATTCCTAAGCCACGCAAGTAAAAGACACGTATACGCCTAAACTCTTGACAAATTGACTTCCATGCCCCCTCACTCCATTTCCCACCTAGCATTATAAGTGTTCTTAAACGTTTTGCACTACGCGAGGGGATTGGAATTTGTTGTGACAAATCCAATTCCATGCCAAATGACAAATGTTGAGTCAAATCACTTATCCTATTTTCTCTCCTCGTCTCCACTTTGATGCTCTCAGAACCAGCGACTTTGGTTGCCAGATCACACATAAAATCATGCATTTTGCAACTTTCTATGTTACCTAAAGCATCCTTTTTCACTTCGTGAAAGAACGACCTCCACGCTAAATTCTCAAAGCAACTAAGCCCAGCAATTTCAAGACTCCCACCACCCGAAGAGCTAATGAACCCTTGTGCAATCCAAAATTGAATCAATGATTTTACATCAATCTCAAGACCTTTTGGAAATAAGCTACAGCATGCAAAACAATGTTTCATGTATGAAGGAAGAGGATCGTAGCTTAACTTAAGGGTCTGTATGATGTTATCATCTTGGACCCTAAGTGGAAGTTCTTGTTTTATAAAGGACAACCACTGGACTCTATCTTTCAAAGACATTAGCCTCGCAATTGACTTTATGACCAAAGGAACTCCACAACACCTCTCTACAATCTCTTTTCTAATGTTTTCATCTACGTGATCCGACTCATGACCTTGAGGAAATGCCCTTTTTCTAAAAAGATCCCATGACTCATCTACTGATAAACCTTGTAAATCATGTGGTGGTATTGTGCTTGTGAGATTTGCAATTCTATGGGAACGTGTGGTTACTACTACCTTACTTCCTACAACATGATGTGGTAACAACTCGTTCAACCTATCCCACTTTTCACCATCATCTTGACCATCCCACACATCATCTAATACGAGAAGATACTTATTTTTTTCAATTTTATTTTCAAGTTCATTTTTCAGATTCTCTAACTGATCAAAATCTCTACCTACAATATCTTTGAGAATCTTTTTCACATCTAAACCACCTGAGACACTAACCCAGAGTTTCACGCCAAAGTGCACCTTAACTTGCTCATCATTGAAAGCATGTTGAGCTAGTGTGGTCTTCCCCAATCCACCTATTCCAACTATTGAGATGACAGAAACATTCTGTTCATAGTTGGAATTCAGCAAAAAAGTTTTAAGTGCCACTTTATCACCTTCTCTCCCAACTATAACTTCAGGTTCAGAGGATGTAGTTTGCTCCCTGACCGTGTTCAAAGAAGCTTTCTCCTCATCACGAACCTCAAAGTTGAATTGTTTACTGTCAGCATCGATGTCAGCTAGTCTCTCCCTAAGTGCTTTAACTTTATGACCCATCCCCAAACCATAAACAAATTGGTTTGATTTTGAGAAGAAAACTCGTACCTCCCTCGATACTTTGTTCCCACAGACCAATTGTTTCCGCTGAACTTCTGTCGAGAAGTCATCCAACAAATCTTCTGCATCATATAGTGCTCCTTGCAGCTTCCTCAACCAGTCTTTGACTTGATTGCTTTGTTTTCGTCCTTGCTCTGCAGCGTCATCCAGCACAGCCTTGATTCTGGTAACTGTGCCCTCGAGCTTGCGTAGCTGATCTTTGACACCAAACCTGAGAGCAACCTCCTGAGCAGCTAGGGAGCCGAGTTTCTTTATTATTTCCTCCGCACATTGAAGAGCACACCTTCAGCCATTGTTTCTTGGTGGGTGAAAAAAGAGTGGGTGGAGGTAAACACACTAAAAGGGAAGATAAAAGAAAAGAGTGAAAAGATGGTGTTTGATGCGTTTACTTGCTTTGAATGGTGGTGATTGGTTTGAATGCTAGAAGAAGGTTTTTGTTGATGTGAAGAGCATGAGTTGATGTGAAGAGCATGAGGATATGATTCGGACGCAAATGCCTTTAGTCAATGGTAAATTAACCTTAGTAATGGAAAATGGATTATTGCCTAGAAAGATGTGGATGCTTTATAGGAAAACAGATTGCAACTTGTTAAGATGAAATTTCAATCATGTTGGAACAATATTTTACTTCAGTATTCTTAGGATGCTTCGTACCTGTCACAGAAATCAGAAAAAGCAAATGCCTTTAACGAAGGGTAAGCCCCAAAAATGTTATCAAAAGAATTATTGATGCTTTCCTATACATAGTATGACCTTTGTTTATAGGAAAATAGATTGCAACTTGTTAAGATGAAATTTCAATCATGTTGGAAGGATGCTTCGTATCTGTCACAGAAATCAGACAAAAGCAAATGCCTTTAACGAAGGGGTAGGCCCCAGAAGTCTTATCAAAAGAGTTGTTGATTCTTTATTTATGGGTAAATAATGGACTGCTTAACTCACAGGCTCGAAGAACGAACTCTTGCAGACGGTCAAGGACCAATTGATCGCAATCCTTTAGTCCATCAACACTAAATTGCTAGGGAAAATGGGGAAAAGTGAACTAGATACATACATACAGCTAGAAATAATTTCAGGAACACAATGTTGAG